TTAAGAGACTTTGGTGAATTTTAATTTTGTGTTTGTAAATCCTGTACATTTAATTAAGTTATTGTTGTGGCTATTGTTCGGGACTAACAATACTAAGCAAGGGGCAGTGTTACGACAGCGGAAGTCACGTGACGCTGGTAACACGTAATGAGTATCTCGAATGTTCCTGAAGGCTCGTGTGTTTGCTAGACGTGCTCTATTTTGTATATATAAGACTGGCGAGAAGTGACAGCATAGATAATTGTGTATCTGTGTATTGTTATAAAGTTGTATCTCTCAAGAAGTATTGGTATGAAGCTGTAGTTCTATTCCAAACTGAGAAAACATAGCAAATATATATGAAACAGTAATGCTAGGTTTGCCAGAGTGTTTGCCCTATCTACGTGATTGTTGGGCATTCTCATCAAACATAACTTTCAGACATCAGCAAACCTGCTTTCACATAGCATGTGCAACTATATAGCAGCTTTTACTACGAGAAGACACAAGTAACACCTTAAATGAATGACCCAGAACAAAAGGTAACTAGGGCGAATGGAAGTTAACTACATTTATGACCAAAGTTTTATGTTAAATGAGATACATCCGCATAAATGAAAAATTTGAAAAACTGTATTTCAAATAAGAGAGTAGCAAACTAATTGTATGCCTGTATATATATATGTTAAAGATTTCTTTTCCTCTTCTTCTGAGGGGAAATTGAAAAGAGGACTTGTGACGTAGAGGCCTAATACATTCTTTGATTAACTGTACCCTCTGCTGTAGACTGTAGTTTCGCCTATTAAAGGCTCATTAGCACAGGTTGGATCAGCAAACCAATTAAATACCATTAGGCCACTTATAAGGTAAAGTGTATATAATATCTATGGTGTTTGAGTCCGTTTTACTTCATAAATTAATATAGGTATGTGAATAATGTTAAGTCATTTTGTCCGATTCATTATTCGATATTATACAGCGGAACAAATGTTTAATGACTGTATATATATATGTTAAAGATTTCTTTTCTTTTCACCATGTCATAAGATTATTCACAGACCTAAATTAAATTAGGTTACTATATGGTAACGTAACAGTAGCAGATACAGAGGTGGGGTTCTGGAGGTTCGAACCCCTCCCTTTTCGATGCGAAGTACCTTGAATATGCAATATATTTCTCATTGTTTTAGAATTTTCTAAAATCTGATAAAATAATCATTCTTAAAATTTAAAAACAACTCGTTATGTAAATTTCATTACGTCATTTTTTCCTTGCGAGGAATTCCTACACTTAAAGTAGAGTCAAATTGGTTCTATAGAGGTGTTGTAAGCTATAATCCCCACTTCCCAAAGGTGTTAGGAAAATCATTCTCGTTCGTCATGCGCTCTTATTCCTATGACTACATTTTTAAATTGGCGGGGGATAAACAATTGTATAATATTTTGGTATCAACGATACTACGTAGAACAAACGAAAATACCGGCAGTAGTAGTCACACAATGCTACCGTTGTCAATGATTTGGATATGTCTCTGCAGTTTGTCTGGCTACACCAAGGTGTGTCGGATGTGGTGAAGAACATCACGCAACTCAATGCTCTAAAAACAAAAACACAATCAAATTGCTGTAACTGTGGTGAAAACCACACAAACAACTACAGAGGCTGTGAAAAATACAAACAAATTAAACAACGAAAATGTGAAGTTAAAAACAGCTGTTACGTATTATAATTTCGAATAGTCCGAAGCCGAGTTAACTGATAATTTAAATTTAGTAGTTAAATTGTACTTTGGATTT